TTCGCTCTAACACTATACTTTTTATTTTTAAGGTCCAAATTCCACAAAAGTTGGGTTGGAGAGAGCAAAAGAGAAGATTACCATGGGGATAACAGAAGAGAAAAGGCAGCAACCAAGAAGAAAGGCACTGAACGGCGTTGCAGCGTGCGCAGCAGGCAGGCCGGCAGCAGGGCCTGCCCTCGCTGACTGCTCTGCTGCACTTCGTTCTGCTGTCGGGGCTGGCAGCGGGGCCCAGGTGGACCTATTCCGAAAGCCTGGTAGGTGCTCTAAAGGGCTAACACATTTGCAGTCCTGCAAGAATGTGCAGGTGCTGGCAGGAGGTGAGATGGAGGCAGAGTGCTCTTGGAATCATTTCCCTGCATCCTGGATGCTCTCTCCTGTCTCCCGGCCACAGGCGAGTCCAGGGTGGATGCGCTGCTCCTAGTGTCTAGGCCTCTGAAAACTCGGTTCACACAAAGCCAAGGTGCCATCAATGAAGCAACTAGGCAGTGTGCTACTGCGGGAATTGGTCCTGTATTGTCAACTCAGAGTCAGGAGTGGATGGGTGGATGTCAGAAAGGATGAGCTGCCTGGTGTCTGGGGCAGTCTTTCTAGATAAGGTCAAGTGCCCTGGTGTCTGGGGCAGTCTTTCTAGATAAGGTCAAGTGCCCTGGGAAAGCCCCCAGGTGTCCAGACTTCAAATGGCTCTGCTGGTCTTTGAATTCTGTCAGTTCACTGAAAGAATTGTGCTCTAGAGGGAAAGTTCAGTGCAGTGAGCATCAGAAGATTCTGATGGACAGACCTCTGCTCTTTATTTTTTATTTTTTATATATATATATATATATTTTTTTTTGTACGTGCCCCTAGCGGGAACCGAACCTGGGACTCTCTGGTCCTCAGGCCGACGTTCCAACCGCTGAGCCAAACCGGCCATGGCCAGACCTCTGCTCTTTAATAAACACTATGAATGTGGCTAAAGATGTGGGAGATCAGTCAGCACAAGGAATGATTTCCTGGTGGGAAGGAGTCAACATTCAATGTTTGCTGGCCTTTGCAATGTGCAGTGGAGTTAAGTAAGTGACTAAAACCCATTGTTACCCAAGAAGCTTACAGTCTGCTATGGAAGATAGACATATAAATAGGCAAACAAAATCCACAGCAAGATATTTAAGGAGGCAGTATAGCATGGGGGAGAGGTCAGAGCATTGGCTGTCTTATCATCAGGACCTGGTTCACACCATACAGCTGTGGGGCCTTGATCTCCCAGGCCTTTGCACCCTTTTTGAGAAAAGGAGGGTAATGAGAGTCCCTGGCTCAGGGTTGTCGTGAGGAGTAAATGAGATGATGTGCATTAAATGTCTAGCAGAGTGCTTGACATGTAGCAAGGACTGATTAAATAAGATCAACTATCATATCCAGAGATCGTGGGCAACGTGGGAGAGGGTGTTAGATCAGCTCCATCAAATCTTTCAATAAATAGCCCTGGCTGGTTTGGCTCAGCAGTTAGAGCGTCGGCCTGCGGTCCAGAGAGACCCTCCCACTCTATCTGAACAAAAAGCGGAAAAATGTCCTCGGGTGAGGATAAAAAAAGAAAATCTTTCAATAAATATATATTTGGGCACTTGCCCTATTGCCAAAAAGTATACTGTGAAAAACAGACACCATTCCTGTTCTCATGAAGTTTACAGCCTGAGGGAGGAGATGGATTTTCAACGAGTAACACCCTGATAACTCCATCCCTGCAAATACAGTGAATGCAGTGGAAGGAAAGAACAGGGTGCTATGAGAGAATAGAACAGAGGTGTTTCATTCCAGTTAGGTCGGAGCAAGGGCCAGGACAGGCCTCTCTGGGAAAGTGACATTTAAGGTAAAGGCATTTTGAGTTAATGAGGTAGAGAAAGCGCATTCCAGATAGAGAGGACAGTCTGTCCCAAGGCCTGAGATAGGATATAGCTCAGCATGTTCCAGGATATGAAAGGAGGCCCAGTGAGGCTGGAGGGAGGGGGGAGGTGAGCCTTGCTCTGTTCTCCCTGCACTCCCACCCCCTCTATGGACTCCATTACCAGCATTCTCATGGCTTCTGGCTTCCTGTTGGGTTCAGTCAATGTTGTGAGGTGGGGTCAGAAGGTGGAGGAGAGACAAATCTGATATTTCTTTCCCCTGCCTCCCTGCTTTAAGAACATGGTTCTGGCCCTGGCCAGTTTGGCTCAGCGGTTAGAGCATCAGCCTGCGGTCCGGAGAGACCCGGGTTCGGTTCCCGCTAAGGGCACGTACTTTGGTTGCAGTTTGTCCCCGGCCTTGGTTGGTCGTGCCGGTGGCAGCCACTCGATGTGTCCCTTCACGTCGATGTTTCTCTCTCTCTCTCCCCCTTCCTCTCCCTCCCTCCCACTCTATCTGTACAAAAAAATGGAAAAAATATCCTCGGGTGAGGATTAAAAAAAAAAAAAAAAAAGAACATGGTTCTGCCAGCAGCCGAATCCCTCTGTGGCCACTGCTGGTATCAAGGGGTCTGCCTTCCATTACTCCAGCTCTCCTCACCCTGATGCTAACCCCTGGGGAAACTGACACTTCCCCAAACGTGGTTAGTTTCCTCACCCTGCCTGCCCTGCTGTATTTTGTCCCTTTGTCACGCTCTGAACTCTGAGTGTGCCAGTGTTTGCTGCTGGGACCCTGACTGAGACCAGGAGCCCCACAACCTGGGCGACTGGATGTCAAGTTAAGGACTGGCCTTTAGGTTTTTACCGAAAGTGCAAGAAGAAGCCACAAGCATGCTGTGGTCACTTCCTTGTCCCTCATGTTCTTCCAGCTGAGCCCCGTTTCTCTGCTGTCCTTGCGGAAGACGATCTTCTTCACCAATAGGCCCCTCTTCACTACTTCTTGAGCACAGTTGATTACTCCTTCCTTCTCAAAACTCCCTGCTCTCTTTGCTTTCATGACCTGCCCCCCCCCCCCCCAATCTTCAGAAACCTGTGCGGCTTGTAGATGTTGAGGGGACTGAGTTCTCTCCTTCATCGTCAACCATAATCATCTCTCATCTGAAGTACTGCAGATGCTTCCTAATTGCTTCCTCCCAGATCCTTGTGAATCATAAATGGGACCATATTACTGGTTGTACAAAGCACTTCATGGCTTCCCACAGCACTGAGAACCCAGACTTGACCTATCAGGCTCCATCCCTGGCCCAACGAGTTGTGTGCTAGAAGTAATACTAACCCTGTTGTCCTGTGGGTTAGGACGCAAGGCCGGCTCTGAGAGAAAAGGGTGGCGGTGGGCCATGAGCCCAGAAGGTAGTCCTGACATCTCTTATTGACAGCCTGGCAATATATTTTTTTTAACAATTAAAAATATATGTATATTTCCACCCTGGCCAGTGTGGCTCAGTTGGTTGAAGCATTGTCCTGTGCACTGAAGGGCCATGGGTTTGATTCCTGGTCAGGGCACATATAAGAGGCAACCGATTGATGTTTCTCTCTCTCTCCCTCTCCCTTCCTTTCTCTCTAAAATCAATAAAAACATATCCTCGGTTGAGGATTAAGATAAATAAGTAAATAAATAAATAAAATAAAAATATATGTATACTCCAGCTGGTCTTTGCTAAGAATAGGGCTTTATGTTATTGATTGGATTTTCATAGCATCTTGGACTTTCAGTTTATATTTAGAATTTACCAAAGTTTGCTTCACAGTTTATTTATAAACCTTCCATTGTGGTGAGGTTACTTTTGCTACTCTCTTTCTTGACTTGTTGATTTGACTACTTTTAGAACCTACTCTTTTCTTCTTAATGCTAAATATCTACTCTGGTGACAGCTTGTTATTATAGAAAAGGAGCGTCATGAGTTTTGTTTGCAAGTAGTTTCTGTCTGTGGAAGGTTTTCCTGTGTGTTAGCAGTTCTCTTAAATTATCACTCGAGTCTACAGTTTCTGGTGGGTGTTATCTAAATCTAGTTCCTCTTGGGAAGGTGTAACGTTAGAATTTCCCCATCTTCGATGACTCACCCTGAAAAGGAGTGGGCCGCGGCCTTGGCCTGGGAAACCCAAGATCTGACAGACCCAAATACCTACCGAGAGAGGAAGGACTGCAGAAAAAGAAAGCAAATATTACTATCTTCTGAAATAGATTCATTCTCTTTCTTCAAAAGTAATTTTTGGAATGTGTTTGTTAGTGTTTTATTACAAAAGTAAAATATACACATATATCCTCACATATCTAAATGCATTTGGAAATCGGTGTCAAAATCCTTGTGTAAGAATGTTCACAGCACCTGTACTGACAATAATAGTCCAAATCTAGAAATAACCCAAATGTCCATCAACAGGGTGTGATCAAGCAAATTGTGGCACATCATTTGAATGAAATACGTCTCAGAAATAAAAAGGAATGAAGTAGCAATGTAAGCAACAACCTGAGTGACTCCCATAGACATAATAGTGAACAAAAGAAGCCAGACACAAAAAGTTATGACCCCATTTATATATCATTCTACAACAGGAAAAATTAATTAAGGTGAAATAAATTAGAACCGTTGTTGCCTGAGGTGGAAGGAGGGGTGGGAACCAGAGAATTAAAAATTAAAGTACTATACATTCATTTTAACAAGTAAACAATCCAAACAATACATTTTAAAAAGTGAATCCTTCTTAATTTATTTCCACCCCACTATGGTAATCCCGTTAAAAGCTTCATATGTACTTTTCCACACTCTCTCCATGCTCACACAAATATAAAAAAACACGTGCACTTTTGTAGGTTTTGCTTTAGGATCATGCTGTACATGATGGTTGCTTTTTAAAACATCTCTGTAATAATATATCATGGATAGCCCTCCAGTTCAGTAAATACAGATCTAATCCATTCTTTTTAATATTGGTGTCATTCCTTAACATGCACCATCATTTATGGAATCACTTTTCCATTGATGCGTAGTCAGGTGGTTTCTACTTTTTGCTTTCACTCCTGCAAAGCGTGTTGCAATAAAATTGATCTCCATGCATCTATCTTGACATATGGTGTTTAGATTCTCGAAAGTGAAAACAGGGAAGGATACGTGTTTTTTATGTAACTGGACATTGGCGGATTGCATACCAACGAGATTATAGCAGTTCTCACTCTCACCAAGCAGCTCACCGAAAAGCCCGTTTTGTCACATCCTCACCAGCACTGGAAGCTGGTGCTCTTTTGAATTTTTGCTGACTGGATTGGAAAAAAAAAATGTGATTCCTTAATCTCCAAGTACTTCTAAGGTAAGCCTGTGCTTTCATACCTTCCACCAAAGTCTCTTCTAACATCTGTCCTATCTTTCAGTCCTGTTTCTTCTTGGCCAGCACGGTTGGCCAGCACGGTCGCCCCGCTCAGAATTGCACTTTCAAGTACTATATCAGGAGATGCAAAGCAGGCACGGCAGGGAGGGAGCGATTCTCATTGTTTTCCTTTGACTTCAAATATTCAGCCTCGATTGGAAGAATTCCTTATTCTGTCATTCCCTATTATAGCAGCCTGCTCGTTTTCATCATGGTACCGACAAGAATCTGTGCGTGGCTTATTTATTTACTTGCTATTTTGAGCAGAACTCAGAAGACAGCACTCAAAAGGGTTTAAATGAAGGTAAGGGTTAATAAGGCCGTCGAGGCAACTGGGACCAGTGGTGATGAGGAATATCAGTTTCCGTGGTCTGTGGCTGTGTAACAAACGGCCCCAAAACTTAGTGACTTAGAAAAACAGCTCCCATTTATTTGCGCACAGTTCTTCAGTTTGATCAGGGCTGGGTGGAAACGGCTCATTTCCACTCTCCTTGGAGGAGTGGGCTGCGGCAGCTCAGCGGGAGCTGGATGAGGACCCAGAATGGGGTCACTCACACATCTGGTGCCCTGCTGGGGTGGCTGATAGGGTGAGGGGCAGGGTAGACTTCTTTCTCTTTCTCTCCAGGTGGTCTGTCATTATTTAATAATTTAACTTGAGCACTTTATAGGTGTCTAGACCCCAAGAAAGTCAACGCAGAAGCTGCTGGATCTCTTAAGGACTTGTCACAGAACTGGTAGCACATCACAATCGCCATAGTCTGCTGGTAAAAGCAAGGACCAAGGCAAGTCCAGCTTCCGGGGGAATTGAAATAGATACTACCTTTCACGGGGAGGAGCAGCATGTGCAAATAGAGTTGAGATGAATCATTTGTAGCAGTCCGGGCAGATAATCTACCCCGCATGCCTCAGTATCAAAAGACAGTGGGAGGAAATAGAATTTCCAACAAGATCTGGTGCAATGGAGGAAGGTCTGTCCGACAGGAGGTGTAGTAATTGAAATCCACTTCCAGAACTGTGGTGCTGAGGCAGGGAGAGAACAGCAGAAGAAATACCCTGATTTCTCTTTTCCTGCTGCCTAATTTCCTGCCGTTACAAGAGTGCCTGGGTGACACAATTCACGGAGGTTAACCCCACCTCTCCAGAATGCAAAGCCGTCAGAAAAGTCTGACTTCGGGTGGATTGGCCATTGAAGAAGAACCAGCATAGTTTGTATTGGTCATGTCAGATGATACGTTTCATCCAGGCAGGGGAGCGTCCGTCCTAATCACAGCTGGTTCCCGGGTCTGGCAAGTGCCTGGCCTATCCCAAGTGCTCATTAAAACGTGTTGAATTGAACTGAGTTTAATTCCCTGAGAACCAGTTGTAAGCTTGACTTTCGTTCTTTCTGATACCACAGAGGAAGCACCTGAAAGACGGCAAGGTGGAGGGTAGCGAGAACAAGACCAGCTGGTCCCGAGGGCAGTTTCACTTTGGGCTGGTCGTGGTATAAAGCATGAGTGCATCTTCTGTGGAGACTTCATGGGGCACTACTAGGGTTCTTCAGAGTCATAACAACCAAGCGGAGCTCCCTGGTGCTCTGAGCACTGTTCTTCTCTAACTTGGCTCCCGAGGGTGGGCCTAGGGCACTGAATTAAGCGAGTCATTTGTTTTCCTTAACGTAGCACCTGTGAGACGCTGGGGGTTATTTATTTATTCTTAAGAGATTTAATACACACACCGTAATATTTTCTCTTTTAAAGTGTGAATTCAGTGATGTTTAGTATATTCACAGGGTATACAACCATCCCACTAATTCCAGGATATTATCATCTCCCCCCAAACCCAAATTCATTAGCAGTTACTTTCCTTTCCCCTCTCCTCCCATCCTCTGGCAACATCTAATGTACTTTCTGTCTCTATGGATTTGCTTATTGCGGACATTTCATATAAATGAAATCCTACAATATGGGGCCTTTTGTGTCTGGCTTCTTATAGTTAGCATGATGTTTCAAGGTTCATCTATTTGTAGCACATATCAGTAATTCATTTCTCTTTTATGGCTATTATTCCATTGTATGGATTTACCATATTTTGTTTCTCCATGCATCAGTTGATGTACATTTCAATGATGTACATTCCTTCTACTTTTCGGCAACTTAGAATAATGCTGCCATGAACACTTGTGTACTAACTTTTGTGTGGACAAACATTTTCAATTCTCTTGAGTGTATGTCCAGGAATGGAATTACTGGGTCATATGGTAATTCTGTGGTTAACTTTCAGAGGAACTGCCAGACTGTGTTCCAAGGTGGCTGCGCCATTCCACATTTCTACCAGCAGTGTACGAAGGTTCCAATTTCTCCACATCCTTGTTAGCACTTGATCAGAGCCAGCTGTGTCGGTATGAAGTGGCACCTCATTGTGGTTTTGATTTGTATTTCTCTGGTGGTTAATGGTGAGCTCTTTTTATGTGCTTAAAGTGTTTGGCCTTTGTGTACTTTGTTTTTGGAGAATTGTTTGTCTGTTCAAGTCCTTTGCCCATATTTTAATTGAATTATTTATCTCTTTATTGTTGAGTTGTAAGAGTTCTTTGTATATTCTAGATAAAAGTCTTCTATCAGATATATGATTTGCAAGTATTTTCTCTCATTCTATGTGTTGTCTTTTCACTTTCTTGATGTGATATCCTTTGAAGCACAATTAAAAATTTTTTTTAGATGAAGTGTATCTTTTTTTTCTTTGGTTACTTGTGCTTTTGGGGTTTTATCTAAGAAACTATTGCCTAACCTAAAATCACAAAGATTTATCTCTATATTTTCTTCTGGTAGTTTTGTAATTTCAACTCTTACATTCAGGTCTTTGGTCCACTGGGAGTTAAGTTTTGTATGTGGTGTTAGGTAGAGGCCCAGCTCTATTCTTTCCATGTGGATATTCAGTTGTCCCAGCACCATTTGTTGAAAAGACTATTCTTTCCTCCAGTGAACTGCTTTGGTACCTTGTTGAAAATCAGTTGATGATAGCTCTCAGAAGTTATTTCTAATGTCAATAATGATGATTAGAACTATTGCGGGCACCTGCTGTACATGAAGAACCTTGGTCTCCTCCCATTTAAGCACTTTTGTTTCAGAGGTCATTCCAGGACTTCAAATTTGTATCCTTAATACAGCACTGAAACCACCGAAGGAGGTGGCAGAGGACATGGCAGAAGTCCCAGTCCAAATCCAAAGGCTGGAGAATCAAGACTGCTGATGTCGTAGAGCAGAAGATGGATGTCCCAGCTCACAGGGAGAGAGAGTGAATTCACCTTTTCTATTCTTCTGTTCGATTCAGGCCCTCAACTGATTGGATGATGCCCACTTATATTGGGGAGAGCCATCTGCTTTATCCAGTTCACCAATTCAAATTATAATTTCTGGGGGTATAGCTCAGTGGTAGAGCATTTGACTGCAAATTATAGTTTCTTCAGAAAGCACCCTCACAGACACACCCCAAAACAGAGTTTTACCAGCTATCTGGGCATCAGTTAGCCCAGTCATGTTGACACATAAAATTAACCACCACAGTGATTAAACTATAGAACTGCACATTAGGGGAAATAATTGTGAAATACTTTACAGATATAAAGAAGTCAAACTTCAGTGCTTTGGCAGGAGTTGGAGTAGGATGTCAAAAAGCATGCTTTACTCTGTGATTAATTAGCTAGCCTGGTGACCTTGACCGATCACTTAAACTCTCCAAGTCTCAGTTTCCTGGCCTATTGAATGCAGGTAACAATGCCAAGTCTAATGACCTTTCTGTGTTATAGTGAGATTGAAACAATGTGATATGTATAAAAGTACTTTGGAAAACTTAACTTGTTATTCTGGGCATTACTAGCAATTCCTAGAACTTTCATTCTGAAAACTGCCTTTGAATTGTTTATAGTACCCGTCTATCCCTCTGCTTGAGGCCAGCCCCAAGTAATGTTTACCATAATAAAACATTAACATAAGATTTCCCATCACTTAGCTGGGTAAGGGCTAGGCCATCTTACTTGGCTCAAGGAAAGTAGTTATACAGTGTTTAACGACAACCAGTCCCTCTGGAAACTCTCAATAAGTACGTTTGGTGCTGTGGTAAGATGTGACCAAAGAATATCAACCACAGTCCTTTACTGCTCACTTAGAATGTAGAGGAAGTGTGTTTTCAAAAATAGTCTCCGACAACCTTCTTTACATTGTTGAAAGCTGGAAGATCTAAGCCTTCAGACCCTTACCCACCTCCTGCTCACGGTAGGCAGTTACTGGGAGGACGGTGGTCTGCCAAAAGGAACCAATTTGAGGGGAGGGAGACAGTGGGCCAAATAAACAAACCATAGTAATCCAAAGCACTAAATTCATTGTTGAGAAAGATACATTTGCAAATCACGAAGCATTAAGGGATGATTCTCTACATTCCTATGAGTTGGTCTAGACTTCACTTCCTCTGACAACATTAATCTTTGGACGATACAAGTAGATCCAACAGTCACTGACAGGCCGAGATGGAATAAAGATCTTACCTTTCACCAACCGCGTCAGAGAGACACAGAAGAGGACCAGACACCTGGAATGCCAACAGCCCCTTCCCCTACTACCCACCCTCTCCAGAGTTTCTGAGTGTTGTTCTAGACTAAGTACCTCGGACCGTGAGATTTTTCACCTGTAGTGAACACGTCCCCTGGTTCAGGGAGAAGGTTGCCTGGCACAAGAGCAGCCCTTGGAAGGGTGGAATTTTCCAGAGCGTGGTAGAGAGGAAGGTGGTACTCTCCCATGACAATACGAGGGTCCAGAAACCAGGTTAGGAAGCAAGGAAGCCCACTTTAGGAGGGTTTAACCTCTTAGGTGCTTTTCCCTTTAACCACAAAGATTTCAAATAGTTTTCTACTATTTCCCTCATACTCTGATTCCCTTCTGTTTCTTCCAACCCTTCAGTAAAATTTGACACACAGTTACTTATCAGCTCTACCTCACTTTCCAACACAGGTGAGAATTAAATGAATTAGTACATGTTAATTAATGTGCTAATTAATGTGAATTAAATTAGGACACTTGGCAGTGTCTAGCATAAAAAAAAGTGCTCAGTGTATGCTGTCTGTTGCTGTGACTTTGTTACCACACCTCCTCCTCTTCCTCTTCCCAAGGTCTTTCAGACAGTGAGAGAGGCCGGGGCCACTTCCATTTTTTAAGGCTACCAGCATATAAAAAAAAAAAAGGAAATTACAAAATATGATCACAAAGTATATGCTTTAAACATTTGTTGTAATATGCTTTAAACATTTGCATATAGCAAACTGATGCTTTGTAACCACACAGAAACACAAGCAATAAGAGTATGCTCTTCACAGCATAATTCCACAGTCCACAAAGTGCGCACGACAGACACTAGCTCAGGGACAGGACACAGGCCTGAGCTGCAAGGCAGACCCCACTGTCTTCCAGTCCTGTCAGTCTGACTTCCTATCTTTCTTTTTCCTTTTTTAGAATATGTTTTCATTGACTTTTGAAAGACAGAGGAAGGGGGAGAGATAGAAACATCGATGTGAGAGAGAGACATCAATTGGCCGCCTCCTGCATGCCCCCCACTGGGAATCGAACCCACAACCGGGGCAGGTGCCCTGACTGGGAATAGAACCAGGACCTCTCAGTCCATGGGACGATGCTCAATCCACTGAGCAATACTGACTGGGCAGTCTTCCTATCTTTCTATATAAATTCATTTGCAAATCACTTTAAAGACAAACTTTAGTCTTTTCATGAATGAGAGGCCAGACCAAAAGGCCCTTTTGCACCCCTCTACCCAGAATTCTTTGGACCCTTGCAGAGAGGGGAGTGGTCAGCAAACAGCAGCTTGCAGGGGCCGTGTGAAGAGTCTGATTCTG